CTCCTCCTCCTCCTCCTCCTCCTCCTCCTCCCCCACTTGCTCCTCCTCCTCCTCCTCCTCCTCCTCCGCCTCCTCCTCCTCCTCCTCCTCTTCTTCCCTCCTCTGCGGACACCGATGCGGATCCCGATACGCACGGCGGCCGTGCCCAGAGCGCACTAGGGGGAGAGGGGCGTTACGTTAGAGGGAGGGGAGGGGCGGGGGGGGCGGGGGGTATCATGCCCACTGTGCCCCAATCAATAAAGAAACATAATGGTGGTCCACATGCGCTGCAGGTGCAGCGGCGCGCAGTAAAGAACGCGCAACGGTGACATGCCAGGCAAAACGAGGACAGGCGGCGGGCCTGAGTATGCTGAACATGATCAAATGCATGTGACATATCGGGCTGAGCATGTCGTGCAGGCCCGCTTCCTCTCACCTCAAATCTGGGCCCCTGCGGGAGGAAATGGGGGCGTGGGGGACGGGGGGGGCGGGGGGGCAAGTGACAAAGTGGGCAAGGGAGACAGCAAGGGCCCAGTCTAACGTTCGAACCGGGAAGAGCACCGCACCGCGCCGCGGCTAAGATCCTTCACTGGATTCCTCGAACTCCCAAACCAACACGGCGGTCGGTAAGCTTGATCCCACGGATGTGGACCCCATATTCAAAATATCGGGTTCAATTCTTTCTCCGCGGTCTTCAACCTGACAGAACGTTGACCAAGCATGCGCCGTTAAGGGCAGCGGCGACAGATCCCCAGCACCGCGAGAAGCGATTGTTCCCAGGCAGAGCCGTCTCGGGCCACGCTTGCATGATCACGAAGGCACTGCAATCGAAAATGGCATGAATGAGCCCGGGGGCCTCGAATCTCGGTCGGCAATGACGACGGCGGCATGTTCGCCATCTGCGAATGTTTGAGGGAACGCAGCAGGGAGCTGAGAGCGCGCGGCCTTTGCCGCGCACCTAACCGTACCAACTTGAAACGCTGCCAAACCAGCCCAAGCCAGGCATGAACCCGCGGGGCCCGCAGAACTCCCGTAGAAGTCATGACTCCAACTTCGGCGGAGAAAAAGCTCCGCCGGTGAATCGCTTGCCCGCGCGCACCCCGCACCCGAATCATCGGCGGGCGCCAGCGATTAAGTTCCTGCGACACCAGTCTTGCAAACCAAAAATGGGTCGGGGTCTGCAACGGGTCTGGCTCCAATCGGCTCGCCGCAGCAAACTCCCATCTCCTGCCAGTCGCAAGCGGGCCTTGCCGAGCAGCTCGGAAAGCGGCGCCCGCTGCACCGCGCGCGACACAAAATGGGGACTAGGCGCGCCCGCGCCCCGAAAAAGATCAGAGCAGCGCGCACGCTGTCTGAAAGAACCTGCCCCAGGGCCGCCTCTCCCCCGATGGGGGGGGGGGCCTGCCAACGCCACCAATCGTCGCGGCATCTGCCCGCGGCCTGGACTTCTCCAATAGAACGGCGGCTATGGTCGCGCTCTCTGCTGGCGGGCATGGCCTTCCACTCGCGCCGCGTTCAATCTGAAACAAACGCCGCCGGCTCGCTCGCGGCCCGACCTGCCACCTCTAGCCGGAGCAACGCGACTGACAGCGGGCTTCGGGCCCTCGACGCCCACGCCGCCCCGACAGCCGCGGTGGGAGAATAAAAAGCCGACGCCCGCGCCAAGGAAGCTCCGCGAAATTTAAGATTGCGTTTTGGGCCGGCGCGACCCCGCCACAGCCCGAGGAAACACAGAGCGGCAGGGGAGGGCGGGGGATGGGGAACGTCGCGCAACAGGTAGGAAGGAGAGCAGGAAACAAAACGCGCAAGCGAGAAGCGAAACTGGCGGGCGCTCTCGGGAGAGGAGGGAGAACAAAAGGAAGAATGCGGCATCCTCCATGACCGAAGCCTCATCCCCCCCCACCTCCGCCCTCCCGCGTTCACCCCCGCCCGCTCGCCCCCCGCTCGTCTTGTCACCATTCATGAGAGTCGGTGCGCGTGGGATTTTCAGTAAGCACGAAAACTTGGCGATCGGCGATCGCCGGTCAATAGCATGCCCTGGCATGTTGCAATCACCCCCCGACCTTGAGAACAAGCCATGCTTACTATAGTCCTGTTCAGTGAGTTCATGCCAACCTGGTGTTGAAAGTAAGCCGAGAATTAGCCGATGGCCCCAAGAGAAGTCGTCCTGAGAAACCAACCCGCGAGACGCTCTGGATAACATCTGCATGACTGGCTCAAAAATCCGAGAGCCTGTTTACAGGAGCCATGGTACATCCTGTCAAGGCCCGCTCACACTGTGCACGGCTGATGAAGCGCATGTTCTCCAGCTTGTCGCGAGGTTCGATGTTTTCACTGATGCTCGCGGGCTGCCCGTTAGCTCGTTTTTTTTGCAAGAATGGCATCTGCTTTGGACTCCTGGGCTGCTTGCTTGCATGCGCGCATGCACGACCCATTGGTCATGGATGCTCGACTGGGGGGCCGCATGCGAACCCTACCCCTACCCCCCACGATTTCTGAGGGGGAGGGTGGGGTTCACTTCGCTCACGAAGTGACCCCCACCCTCCCCCTCAGAAATCGTGGGGGGTAGGCGTAGGGTTCGCATGCGGCCCCCTATCGACTTCTGCAGTCAGGGCCAGACTGCCTGCTCGTCGGTCCCCCGGATGGGTTAGGAACGCGCCTGCGGGACAGGCTCTCGAGCTCGCCTCCGGGGGAACCCAACCTGCTCCGACGCCGGCCCCCTTTCGCAGCCGCTGTGGCGGCCGCCATTTGATGCGCGGGGCAGCGTACGTTCTCCTCCTCCTCCT